ACTCGTTTGCAAGCACCCTGTGTGCTTGAAGCGCGTCTATTACAGCTGGCACGACAGCGGGGTGCAATATTTGTCCTTGACGTTTTTGCATCTCTGCATAATGGTGTGATTCCCCCCCTGCTCCCCGCCCCATGTAACAGAAGAGTCTAGATACAATTTGAAGAAATAAAAAGTCTTTTTTGTTAGACATTTCAAACACGGTGTTTACAGTGCTAAGACACTTGGTAACTTGCGTGGGGTTTTCTGTGGTGGTTTTTTTTTTTTTGGACATTCATTAGTTCTTTGAATACCATACGTAATTTTGAGAGTTGTTCTTTAAACCAGTTGCAGCTCTAGGTTATCATCTCTTAAAACTTTGTTATACCTGATTTTATTCTGGATAGCCAATGTTCTGTAACGGTTTTGTCATGAATTCCTACAGGCAAAAGCTATGTGCCACTTTTTACAGTGTTCACCTTCCCAAGATGAAGTATTTTGAAGTATTTTCTACTAACTTAACTCTGTTATTTTTATGATCTCTTGAGCTATTCAGTTTGTAGTGATGGTAGTTGCCAGTTTTTGTGTCCAGAGGTCCGGTGTAGAAAGGATTGTTGATACTTTTGGGAAACGGCCTATATGATTAGATGAATTCCTGTGAGAGTGTCTTCTATGAGTATTTGCATTGTAGATTAGAGCTTCAGTTTTATGTCAGACCCTTTGAGACTTGTCTTGAGATCTGGTTAAATTGGCAAAACCATAGGGTGGATCACTTTGTTAGGTAATGCAGGAAGAATAGCTGCCTCAGTTTCCAAATGCTTGAGGTTAAATTGTCACTAACCTTTAACAATGAGTGTTGTGTACTTACATTTAGCATAACTAATAACCCAGAACCTAATGATTGAAGAGGAAGAACCTAATAATTAAATAGGAAGAAAATACTTTAACAAGGGCAGAACACATGTGAAGATCTTCTTGAAGATTGCTGATTTAAACACCATAGAGGCACAAGAAGAAAAAAAAAAAAAAACCAAAACAAACCGAGACCATTCTGAGTGCAAGCTTTAACTGGTGGGTTTTTGTTTTGTTTTGTTTTTTTTACTATAAGTGAATCATAGAATAATAGAATCATTTAGGTTGGAAAAGACCCTTAAGATCATCAAGTCCAACTGTAAACCTAACACTGCCAAGTCCACGACTAAACCATGTCCCTAAGTGCCACGCCTACACGTCTTAAATACCTCTGGGAATGGTGACTCGAAGTCTGTGGTCCAGAAGTTCCTTTCAAAAAGACTCATTGCTTTAATGAGCACGACCAAATAACAAAGCTGCAAACTGGAGTACCCATCGGAGTTGATTTCTGACAAGGCTAGACATAGTCGTCTTGGAGCGTTTAGTTTTTTGGTCTGAGTCTCATGTGTCAGCAAGATATGATATAAAATTCTGTATCTTGAGAATATCTCTTCATGTGTAGGCTATCAGGCAATGCCTCTTCACTGCTTGGATTGGTAGGCTTCAAAGTATTTGTTTTCTGGCAAGAAAAGAAGCTCAGTGAAGGCAGTGACAGGCAATTATCTCCCAGGTTCTAGCAGAAAACTGAACAGTAAATTCCTGTTTTAAGGCTTGATAGCTGAAATCAGTACTTCTACTGAGGCTTTTGGGGAAGTACTGTAGAGGATTAAGCCAGTCACAAGCAGATCTCAAGGATGTGAGGAAGGAGAACTCTTTTTGTGACAAGTGTCAACTTTCTGTACTTCTGTACTTTTTCTTTTAACTGACTTTCTCCTTCCCCACCCCCCCTTGTTTTTTCTTTAAACCATTCAAAAATCACTGAGTTTGGCAGTTTGCTAATAGACTTTCTCAAGTTCTATCAGTCTGTTAGGAGTGCTAAGATGCAGGCCATTTGTTTTCATTTGTGACTTAAGAGCTGGGCTATCATCCAGTCTGTGCTTTCGAAGTCTTGTGTTGGAGAATTAAGATTGGTTGCTTATAAAGCAATTAATATACAAACTAATTAAAAAAATGTACAAATTAATATGCAAAATTAATAGACAAACAGATGGTTGCAAGATAAAGTAAATAGTACTCGTAAGCTATCTCTAAATAGAAATGTTTTTTGAAGCAATGGAGTGAGGGACAAGGTTCTTTAAGATTATTATTAGTACTGATATTTGAAGGTACTGCTTCAGGTGTTTCTTTTTACTATCTGCCAGCCAGGGGGAGTTGCCGGTATTTTTAGATCTCTTATGGCAATTTCCTTCTTCTCCCCCCAACCCCTGCCCCCCCACCCCT